TTATTACACAGACTCGGCACCTGTCATCGACGAAGACGAAGGGAAAGCATGAGTTTGAGAGTTAGTACCCCTATCAAGACAGAAGCGTGTGGATAAGGTGCCGAAGAAGGGTTATGTGAAATGTGGTTGCTCTGGGAGCCTAGATAGGCAGCCTTTAGTGCTTATTTGAAATATGGTTACTATGGGAATCCAAATAGGCAAACTCTAGAGGATTTGGATTGTTACTAGATGCCATTGCCATGCATGAGCAATATCTTTCGGGACTAGGATTTTGGATAGACGTGGAATATATAGGAGAATGTACAAGTAGTTGCCATTGTGGAATCTCTTGGGCCAGTGGTCTTTTGATAAATTGGAGTGAGAGCACAGTTAAGGATGAATTATGAAGTTTCTGGTTTGTCCAAAGTCCAAACCTTTTGGACTCATTACCTCTCTGATATGATGAAACAAAAACATACAAACAAAACAAATGCAAATGACATGGATACAAACAAAACAAATGCAAATGATGTGACAAGTTTGAAGAGTTCTGCCATTTTCATGTTTGCACAACTCAAAATTTCATATGTATTTGCTAAAGATTGATGATCTATAATTTACTCGAAGGCTCTTTGACCGAATTGGATCTACAAACCAAAAAAATTAGAGCTAAAAAATTTGTACATTTTTAGTTGGTGGCTAATCTAAAGCAACACAGCTATGTTAAGAAAATTGAAACACACTCCTATTAGATGGAGCATAAGCTTGAAATTCATTTGCTTCCATCTCCACTTTTCATATGCGGGCTCGGGCTTGGGCTTTTTCCAACTGTTCAATGCAAAGTTCTTCTTCTGAATTTCGAATCATACTCAACGTCCTCTGTTTTCAATTTTCGATTATCTAATAAATTACTTAATGAAAGTAAATTCTCTTTCCATTCATTTCAAAGCTTACATAATTCAAATATGAATCTTTCGATTCATTTGACTCTCTTGCCCAATTACTTAGAATTAGAATAAAGTCTCATATATATATATATATATACTTTTTATAGATGTAATGATGAACCTATCCTCTCTTCTTTATTCATATTCAAAAAATATCTAAATTAATGCCAGATTTATAAGATATGTACAAAACACCAAATTACCTCAATAGGTAGCATTGAAAGGTAACCGTTAAACTCTCAAGGACTTCAACAATTAAAAAAAGAAACTCGTATTACATTGCTACAATGGATTTTAAATAATTTTCTGTTATTAATGTTTATTGATTAATATACGTGATTTTCAAAATTTCATTCGATTTTTGGGGCATATATCTGGATAGTGGCCTGAACCATAATTGTAGGTTTTTCTAACTTACCCTTCTTTTTTGATTTACATCTGGCAAAGAAACACTTAGGATGCGTTTAATGAAATTGAAATTTGAACATGGAAATCTAAACTCTAAAATTTAAAATTTGAATCCGTTAAGTTACTAAGTTGTTAAATACTAAATATGATATATTTGAATATATATCACATCAAGGCTCTATTTGATAATCCAATTCAACACTTAATAAATTTAGATCTTAACATTTTCAAACTCATTTGATAACCAAAAATTAAATATCTAAATTAATTAATTGACATTGAATTTTCTAGGTAAAACTTCTTTCCAAAAATAAGTGATGAGCAAATCACTTATCACTTAATGTGATATACACTCAAATGTATTAGATTTAGTACTTAATAATCAATATCTTAATGGATTCAAATTTCAGATTTTAGACTTCAAATTTCAGTTTTACTAAACGCACCCTAAGTGATAAGTGTTTATCCCTTTTTTTTTGGAGCAAGTTTCACCTAAAAATTTAGTGACACTTAATTAATTCATTCAGATGTTCTATTTTTTATTATCAAACACGTCTAAATATGTTAAGATTTGAACCTATTAAATTTAAGTGTTGAATTGGATTATCAAACAGAAGTTTAAGGCCTTGTTTGGATTGCTTGTTTCTGTCGGAAAATATTATCGTTTTCCGTGATCACATTTCCCTATCACCTTTTTCCCTCACATATATCAAATCGTTACAGTAATTTTTCCATGAAAAATAACGGAAAATACAATCCAAACACAACCGGAGGGAATAGGACAGGAATTCGTTAACTTCTGCATATTCTTTGTACGGAAGGTCGACACATCGCAGGATACACTTACTTATATTATCAAATCCTACAAGACAGATTGGGTACCATTACTATTTCTTGTTTCGTTTGTTGACAGTTTAGTCAGGCAGTTTTCAAAGTTTTGTCACTAAATTTGGTTGATAACTATGTGAATATATCTGCAAATAGTCAAAAGACCAAACCTTGAATAATCAAATGGGTGAGGTGGCATACAGGCCATGGGGATTTCTTCGTGGCTTAACTTCAGAGTAAGTCGAAAATATTTTCAAGTTCTTTCCACCATTATCATAATCAGATATCACGAACCGGTAGAGATAGACACCAAGAAAATATAATCAGATCTTGACTTCTTTTCTCTATATGCATAGTTTGAAATATTTATGGTCCGTAACACAATTAAAATTTGTCTATTTATTAATTATTGGGATACACCAAGAAATATTGAAGATAAACTGGGACAAATATTTAGAACCATCCTTGGGAAGAATCAATCTAGCCATTTTGGAATTTTGTCATTTTTTATACCCATTGTCAGTTGTTAAAGTAAAACAAAAAAAGAAAATTACGTGGAGCTTCTGTCTCTTAAAGTGGTTATGCTATCATATGCTTTTATTTGAAGATGGAACAGAGCACAAATTGTTGTGTGTTGTAATGTGAAAAATTAGAAATTAAAAGAAAGAAAATGGTGACCAGTTTATTGTATAATTGTTCAAGAAGCGTGATTTTTGAAATATGGTTCGCACAAAAATGGATGGAGTGATTCATAGATCGACAACTTTTGAAGTAAATATAAAAGAGATTAGAGCAAGTAGAAAATGTAAAGGATATTATAACAAGTGTAAGAGTAGATGGAAATTTGAGAATTGACGTTGATAATACAGTTAGATTTCAACCTTTTGTTTGGTACATAGGAATGGTTTGGAAATGAAAGGCGTTTCCAACTTGTCCATTCCATTTTAGTATTTGGTATGATTCATTTAATTGAGAAAGTCCTTTTCTTTTAGAATGTTCATTCCAACTTTTTTTTGGAATTCCATTGTGAGAAAAAACATGGGGAAAGCCCTTTCTACCTTCATCCTACAATGTCAAAAAAAATTTACACTGCATCGTGATATCTTAGGTTATTTGTAAGCTCAATTAATATTTGAATGTCATTTTTCAAAATAATTAATTTTTCTTGTATTTAAAATAGTTTTTTTTCTTTTATACTAGGAACCAAATGTTTTAAGATATTTTATTCTTTGACTTTTGAACAATCGTGCAAGAATTTTTTTTAATCTTATCAAAATTGAAAATAGATTAAAAATAAATTATAATTGTTTGAATTCATGTAATTTATATTTTACGTTGCTAATTATATTGCTAGCAAATGCAAAATTGTAACTTAAAAATCTATACATTGAAATGAATCAAGTATTACAATTGAAGAATTTTGATATCAATCCTCATTTATGCTTAAAGTAAAAATATCAAAATTTCAAGTAAATAGACAAATACTATTATAGAATAAAAAAAGGTAATAAGACATATTACGCCCTATAAACTAATTCAGGGCAATTAAGTAGTATATTCTATTCTATTCTGACATCTAAATATTAACTATACCGTAAGCCGAGCAAACATTTCATTCTGATTTGTGTATCAAACCCTAAAATAATAAATTCTTTTTCCTACCATTCTAGGTGGAAATGTAGTTTGGGTAGAATGGTCTTGCCATTCTGGACATTCCTCTGCGTAGTCGTGTCATATTAACTTTGTCCCCAACAGTTTTGGAATCCGTGACTTTGCACGCAAAAACAAACAAGGCCTTGGAAATTTCCAAAGATTATCATCATGTACTCAATCAAATTCGATCGAAAGAAACTGAAGTCGTGTGACTAAAGAATCGTTATCTGGTATGCGACGAGGTTCATCATTGTTTATCAACAAGACGATAAATCATTTTGAGTTCAAGATTCTCACTTTCAGATCTTTATATTCATGTTTCCATTTTGTCCATTGACATGACATCACTTACACGATGACTCACCAAAACATTTTTTCTTTTTTCTTTTTTTTTTTTGTGAAAACAACACGTTGCAATTTAGATGTTTTTAATTCAGAAGAATTCTTAATAAGCATCATTCTTCCTACTTAAAAGTTGCCAATTCGAAACTAATAACGGTATCAAAATGGTTGACAAGAAATGAAAATGCTGGGGGCTGTTGGCTAGCTAAACAAACTAATGGTATCCAGCAGGGCCTTTATGCTAGCACAATTTGATCACTCCAACTGAACTAGACACTAATTAGTAATTACTACCTTAATGTACTTGCTTATATTGAAGGGATTCAATTGAGAGAAAAGCCCTCATGTAAAATCTACCCAAGTTTGACTTTCTTTGAAATTTAAAGCGAGTAAATTTTATGTATATTGATAGTGTATTGTATTATACTATCATCGTTGAATTTATTATATATATATATAAATTAAATTTTATATTTAAATTTTACATATTTATCGTTCATTCAATATTAATTATGTATATACTATCAATGTAAAAAAGATTAATCTAAACTTAATATGCAACAAAAATCGGCCTAATGGTAGGATGCTAGCCTGCACTTTTTCCACCAAAAATAATTAAGGGAAAAAAAGCATCATTTTATTGTATTCAGTGCCAAAGTTACATCGACAGAAAAGAAAAAAATTAACAAAAAAAAAAGAAAAAAATTCCCTTGTCCTAATCTGCACTTAGCCCATCAGTAGAACCTAAAACCTCAAGAACATTATTCGTTTTCTCTTTAATCTCATCATCCTTTTCTTCTTCTTCTTCTTTTTCTTCTGCAGCTTTTTCTTGAATTTCTGTAGATATTCCAGCAGCAGCCACCAAATTGAAAGACCCGAATTTTGGAGTAACCTCAGGAGTAGAAGCACCACAAGAAAATTTCGGGTCAAAACTGAAAGTTAAGCAATTAGAATTGTTTGAGCAGCAAGATTTGATGAAGATGGATTCGCACTTGTCTAGAGCACTTGGGCAGATTCTCCTCCTCTTGGCCTCCCGTACATGTTCTTGGTCTTCTGGGTCTTTTTCTCCTGCCTCATATCCGCCGTCTGTGGTGGTCGGAGGCGGTGGATGAGGATCGTCGCCGGAATCTGAATTTGTGGGTTCTTGGACAGCCCACGTGGCAGGTGAAGAGTGGCTGGTTTTGCTCTCGTCTGCCATCTTTAGGAAGTTGGGTCGCCGAGACAGAGATGGATGGTGGGAGAGTGGCGTAATGTAATAGTGGAGAATTTGTCACTGGCGAGTCAGACTTTGTCAGCGTTGGTCTCCAACTCGTGATTAGCATTAAGCAATCACAGATTTTTTTTGGTGTTTCTCATTTTGGTCCCTCTACTTTCTCTGAGTTTTAATTTACTCTCCCCGTAAAGAAAAACCAAACTTGCTACTATTTGTTTCCTAGATGTGTAAATGGCTATATGAAGCCTAATTTGCAGGTTTAGATTATTATTACAATCAACCAACTCTCCTTAAGTTAGTTGGCCACCACGTAAAGTATAAGGTACAAGTTTAGGTTGTGTTTGGACTGCATTTTTCTAGATTTTTTGTAAAAAAATTACTATAACGATTTGATAAATGTGAGGTAAAAAGGTGATTGAGAAATGTGTTCAAGGAAAACGTTTGAAAAATTGCTGTCCAAACAAGGCCTTAGTTATAGATTAATGATTCAAATATCTGTATCTATAACTTAAGGACGTGCAGTAGTGCACACTTTTGGTCTAGAGATGAGTATAAGTAAAAATTGATGATCGGAAAAAAAAACAAGAAGAAGAAGAAAGATTACTATTACAACCAAACCATGAGCTTTGTAAATTGCTTGGTTAGGGGAAAAAAATTGGGAGTATTTTAATGGGTTTTGCAGAATTGCTGAAAAATTGGTATGATTTAGGATAAGTATATGATCAAATTTCCTTTTTAGTACCGGGTGGGGCGATTTTGGCATTCTAAATAACTAATTAGTTTGCTTTTACTTGTCTCTCTATTTCTATTTTTCCCCCTCCTATTTGGAGCAAAGAGAATTTTCCTCCATTTGTCATTTTCTTGCCCAAAAGGTAGAAACTCTCCATTTTTTTTTAAAGCCTAATCCTAACCTCTCAAATGAAGTAATAACAGAGTTGGTACCTATCACAAGACCGACCACTTGGCAATTATGGGAAAAAAAAAGAACCATTTCTTTCTTATAATGAATACTAAAAGCGATAAATCTAAAAGTCAAAATAAAGCATCACAGTCGTGCAATGTTTATAATTTTTAAAATCATGAACTCCTTATATCTGTTGACTTAATCTAGCACTCCTATTCGTTTTTATTTAAGCTCATCAAAATTTGAAAATTTTGTGACAAAATGCCTATGTTTATTGGCAGAACAAAAATATAGGGACATACTGCTTGGATTGGTAGGTTTCCCCAAACTAGTTTTTGTTTTTGAAATCTACAGTAATACACTTTAAAAACATCTTAAAAAATACTCCAAATACACACAATTTCAAATGTACCTAAGAAAATAAATAAAATAAACTTGATTCGTCTTTCTACTTCCATTAACCATCTCCACTGTTGCCAACCCACTCCCCTTTCCTTTCTCCCTTCTGCTCTTCCATCTTTCTTCCTCCTTCTTGCTACTCTCCTTCCCTCCCTTCTCCCTTTTCCATGACCAATCAAGGATGGGTTGAGGGGAAGGTGAAAAGGAAGAGAGGAGAGGAGGGAGGAGGTAGGGGAGGGGATGAAAAGGAAAGAGGAGATGGGAGGGAGGAGAGAGAAGAGGGGAGAAGAGGTGGTGGCAATAGAAGAGAGGGGTGGCAGCAATGGAGGAAGGAAGAAGGGAAGGGTGATGGGTGGTTGTAATGACTTAGAATCTTTTATTTCCAAATTAGTCTCTGTCCCTTCTTTGTACAGCTACCATGTTACCTCTAATTTTTTGATAATCCAAACTCAAGCAAACGGATAACAAACTCGGTTGACAAGTTTACTCGCCCTTCAATTCATCGGATAACAAAGTCCGATAACTCAAAACCAATTATAAAGTTTTGAGTTATCAAAAAATTTAGAGACGACGTGGTAACTGTACAAAGAAGGGACAGAGAGGGCCGAGATTAATTTGGGGATAGAAGATTTGAACTGGGTTATAATAGGTAATATTTAACAATTTTTTTAAAAAAATATCAATAGAATTTTAAATTTTAAAAACATTTCAAAATACGTTCTAAGAATATTTAATCCATACGAAAACATTGTAGTAGTAAGTTTTTGAAATATAATGGCAAAGTACAACTTTTGAAAAAATTCCCTAAAAATACTTGATCCACACAAAGCCAATGTTAGATCGAAAGTGATGACCACAAGGCGCATTTTACTAATTTGTTCCTACTATTTTTGCACGCAAAAAAGTTGCACAAATTAACTTCTAAAATAAGTGAAGCCTAATGATTGATTATATTTTGGACTAACGAAATCAATCCTCTAATATAACTGCTCGAGAGTTTCAAAAAATTTGTCCTATTTTTATTTAGAAACTATATTAAGTATTGGAATGATAACAATAATAATCCAAACCTTTTAATACAACTAAGCAATGATAACATGTTGGTTACATTTATAGAATTTGTTTTTCAATATGAAACATATTTACTAATCCACAGTTTTGTGCATATATTCAACATAAGCAATTACCACTCAATATACGATTGCGACTTTTCATTTTGAAAGTTCTCTAACAATACACTCTGTATATTAGTATGTAAGAATTGTAGTATTTACTTAGTCATCAATTTTTGGCCACCAACTTTTAGATTCAACATCACGATAATCAACTTAAATTTCAAATAAAAAAATATGTTGACATAATTAAAATTCATTGTTAATAAAAAAGAAAGAAAGAAATTTCTTCAATATAATAAACGAAAATAAAAAACCATAAAAAAACGCGCACACACGCGGCGGTAGAGATGCGACAAAATTTGGGTTTGACGTGTAAGTGGGATTAAAAAAAAGAGAAAGGAAAATGAACAATTTCGTCCCTAAACCTTTTTATTATTACTGATTTAGTCTATAACTTTTATTCCTAACTAATTGGGTACGTGAATTGGTTTTCGGGTTCTAATTAAGGACCCATGTGGCAACACTATTATTTTAAATTGATCTGACTTCTAATTGACTAACCAAACGGGAGTATTTTTGGAATGTCACTCATAGGATTGTAATAAATCAAGTAAATCGTGTAAAAAATTACAAGATTAAATTCTAAAAAAGTTTTGTTTGATGATTTTTTATATGATTTAAAAGTTTTATCTAGTAGTTTTTTTACATGATTTATTTATTTTATTACAATTCCATGAGTAATGTTCTCACAATACCCCTATTTAGTTAATTAATTATAAACTAGATTCGTTTTAGACAGAGGTCTTTAATTAAAACTGTAAAATAAGTTTAAATATCAAATTGGTCATAAACAAAAGTTAGGGACTAAATCGACGCAGTAAAAATTTTAGTACCAAAATGGCCATCTTACCAAAAAGAAAAGGCCCCATTTGGTGAAGGAGAAATAACAGATCCAAACAGACGACTCTCCCAGCAGCTGATGCCGATGAAACAACAAACAAAGCCCCTTCGGCCAGTCCCTAACAATCCTAAACCTTTACATAAAAATTTATATACCGATTATTAAAGAAGAAGTGAAGCAAATCGAAGATGATGTCAAGCAATTATACTCCCATTGATAGTCAAAACGTTACCGGATCTGTTCCTGTAATTTTTTCTTCTTGCCTCTTCTTCTTTCTATCAAAAACTTGATTAAAATCTTCGTTTTTTTTTTGAATTTGATTTTATCATATAAAGTATTATAATTTACCTTTTGTTTATACTGTAGGCTGCGGCGGAATCGTCTGGCCACGTCACCGTCAAATTCGCCGGTAATTTATTCTGGTTAATTTCTCGGTGATATCTGCAGAATTTCACTGATTCTAGTCTTTTTTTGTGTGAATTTTGTAATATTTGAATGATTGGAGTGGTGATCCGATGCTTGACATTTCCACCTATCGAATTTGGAATTCTGGAAAATTGCAGACTCGAATTTGCAGACATTTCCACCTATCGCACCGCAGGGCAAGATCTCCAGTGGCTCTGGACCTCCCCGCGATGCTGATGGTATGTTTGCTTAGTTGAGGGATACGTGAACTTCGTATAAGTTGTAATATGTAAACTCTTTGATCTCCAATTCATTTCTTTCTGTTTATTAGGTGAACATCAGGATGCAAATGATTAGGTTTTTGGATTGGATGGCATAAATTGAGTTTTTTGCCATATGCTTTAAGGTTATAGTAGCTATCAGAATGAACGATAGAGTGCATTGTAGAATATATTTTTAACTTTGACATAAGAGGCATTAGGGAAGCATGATCTTTGAAGGTGAGGCCGTATATCTTGCAATTCTAGATTTGAAAATGCATTGAATAGGTATCAGAAATAAATATAGACAGAAATAAAAATTGTTAGTCACAAACTGGCAGGCTGAAATGAAGTGGGTTCCAATTTAATAGAGATAGTGATACATATTTTTATGGACTCCAATTGGATAGAGATAGTGATACATATTGTATAGAAAAGTTGGTTCAATGCCGATTAGGATGGGTCTGATTAGAGTTTGTTTCTTTGAGTTGATAATTAAAATGGGTCTTAGAAACATTTGCGTACCAAGACCAATTGTTTTTGATAGGTTCCCTTGGTGTTTAAATCAAAACATGTTTTCTAGTTTTACTTTCATTAACTTCAGTGGCCCAAAGGAAATGTATCTGTTCTGGTATAGTGTGTGGATTACGTAGCAATAAGGTTATATATTTTGAAAACTTTGCTGGTACCAGGAGATGCTCTTCTTCGTTAGAATCAAGAACAGACTAAATATTGTAAATTGGAGAGTCAAAGAGCTATGATGAAGATTCCACATCATGGGGCTTGTAATCTCTAGTTTCAGGAGCAAATTTGCAAGGGACATCGATTTTTCTTAAACAGCTACTTGAAATAGCTTCTTTTATATCTTCCTTTTCCTACTGCAGTTGTCCTTTTCATGTAATAGAAATACTGCAA